TTTTTCTGTCATATTATCTTTTTCTTTGTCTTCTCTTTTTCCCCTGCACAATCATTGATTTTTAAATTTGAACTTTGTTTTTGAAATTTTCAACCAAAACATTCGTCGTATTTTCAATTTTAACTGATAAAAACGTTTTTTAAATGAATTAATTAAATATGAAAAGTGAGGGAGGAAGAAACGAATTATAATTAATTTGCATATTTTCAGGTACAAATGTAAGGTCAAATGCCGATCCAAATGATATATAGATATATAAATATTGATATGCATACATTTACATATACTAACTAATGACATCATGAAATTTAATTGAAACGGTCATTGAACAATTCTGTCTCTTCGTTTTTTTTTTTCCTACTGTCTCCTTGTCTCCTCTTTCGTCTTCGTCTTCGTTTAAATGATCGAATTTGAAAAAGTCATCTATTCATTTGATAATGCTGCTGTATTTTTGCGCCTGCAGAATGTATTACTAATACTGCAATTAATTGGTAACTAATACTACAACAACAACTGATTATTATTACTACTATAGTAATTTTTAATTATTAATATATGTTACTATCATTTAATTTGAATACGATAATTACTAATTAGATATTAGTAAAAGTAAAAGAGAAAAAGTATTAAAGTATTACTACTGTTGCTACTAATTACATTTATCACTAATTGTTATGATCGTTTTCAACGATCATCATATGCAATCAATCGATCAATATATATCAAAACAACGAAAACAACAATATGAAATTAATTATCGTATCAAATCATTTGTAATTATTATTTGTCCAAATTTGAATATATTATTATGGATGATATTTTCGGCAATGATTTTGACAACAAATGGTGCCACATGTTCATATAAGGTATTTAGAATTGTTTGTTTATCATACTAATCGTTATTGTTATTATTATCATTAGTTTAACTTTAACTATGACTAATTGTTATTGCCATTAGTTTAATTTGAATTTTGAACTTTTCTCTTCTGTTTTAATAATATTGACTTAAAACATTAGTTAATATTATTGGAATGAAATTAAAGGTAATTTATTTTGAACACTTAAATTAATTAATATTGCAAACTGATCAAACGGAGAATCATGGTTAACGATAGTTGTAATTAATTAATTAACTATTATTGAACATTTTCAAATTTCTTAGGTACCAAATGTCAATGACATTGTTTTTGATGTACCGCTTGATGTTGATTTCGTGGAGAATGATATGGAAAGTGATGATGGTAGAGTTCGGAAGATACGTAATGTAGATAATGATATCTTCCAACCGTTAAGGATTCATCTTCATTATGATAAAATTAGCATTGACAAGTAAGATAATAATCATGATCTTTATAGTGATCATTTGTTAGCCTCTAGATTATCCAAGAATTGATTTATTACTAAAATTATCTATTAACTATTCCATGGAATACATCTTCAGGTTAATCAGAGTCAATTAAGATTAAATAAGGTGAAATAGTTTGTTATCCGTTGTACTTTATTAGCTAATTATGTTTGTTGCGTTTGTGACTTACTTTTAAAGTTTACATAAATACGTCTTTTCATCTAGTAATATTGGATATTTGATATTGGACAATTACATCAATTAATTTCATGTTTTTCAGGAATTTGTAGAAGAGAGTAAAAAAGCTAACTTCTATAGATTAGCTTGGTATTTTGGAAAAAAGAAAGTTTGTGCCTGTCACACTTCATGTATCTAAAAATAAGATAAATTCAAAAAAAAAGAAAAATTATTATTTCAATTCATTATATTCGTTTTTCATTTCAGATTAACGACAAATATACAATTATTTGTTAATGTAAGTTACACATAAATTAACTCGATTTTTTTTGCAATTTAAGATATTATCTTGCATTTACATATAATTTTATTGTTATTCTTACACTGTTTAGACCATCTTTTTAGCAACTTTCTTTTTTTGAAATTTCAATTTTCCTGAAATGAAAATTTACACAAATGCGCAGATTTTTCGAATTGATGTCAGTTTTGATGAGCACGGATCAAAGTTGAAAGTTCAAAAATTTTCATATATGAGGCTGAATCATTTCTATCTATACACATTAACCAAGTAATTTACCAAGCAAATATAATTTGTTTTCAAATATTATTTAGAATATAATTAATTATTTTAGTATAATATTTATTTTTTAGACATCTTTATTACCGGAAGCTGTGAACTATTGGCAAGCTGCATTAGCAGTACGTCCAACAGCTATACCAATACGGCTTAATAGGCAGGTTGCATTATTTAATTTTTGAAAGTGCTAAATGAATGGTGTAATTTTGACAAATTGAGAATGGATTTGAGGTTTATTTTAGGTTTTAGTTTTTTTTTTTAGAACAGTTTTCGATAATTCCTGATGATAAATGTATGTATTAACTTAAATTTGAAATAGAATGGAAAATATAATTAAATTTGAGTAAAAAAAGAAAAACGAATGACGAACTTTTTCTTTCATTTTCAATTGAAGCTTTTTGTTTTTTTTTGACAAATGTTTATTTTACGAATATTTCATGGGATTCAAGAATTTATAAAGAATTAAAAGGATTATTTGTGTTATCACAAGTGATAATTTCATGAGTGATAATCATAAGCAATAAATGACAATTTCAATTGTCACTATGATATAATGTTAGCTTTTGTGAAAATTAGATCAATACAGCTATCACCAGTAATAGCAGTTATCATTTGATCATGAAAAATACAACAAAAGTACATCTCATATTTTATCAGATATTATGGATGGAATTATCAATGGAAAAGGGAAGTAATGAGGTGAAATATGTAATCAAATTAGAAATGAAAAAAGAAATGGAATTATTTTAAAATTGAAATTAGTAGGGATGACATGTTTTCAAATCAAATAATTTCATTGTAAAATGAAATTTGATTTTTTAGAAAATGTGTATCAAATCTATATTATATGCGTACATATGAGAAACGACAATCATGTGTATTAGGCTGCAAAATAGAAACAAGTTGTGGTGAAGTAATCATTCCAGATGAACATTTATATGTGAGTTTATCAATAATTATACAAAAATAAAGCATTTTCTTGATAAGACTTAATCACGATTAATTTTAAATGCAAACAAAAAAGGTTCTATTGATAAGGTTTAACTGTGATTAAATTTATATATAAACAGAGTATGTTATTGATAAGACTTGATTATGTTTAATTTGTATATCATTAAGATAGAAAATTTTTGTCATTATTTGAAAAGATGGTCGTATTGATTGATCATTTGATGCAAAAGTTATTATAAAGGACTTGATTAAGCTAATAGCTAAATAGATTATTTATTGATTTATTCATTTCTAAAATTTATCATTTATTCGTTTTTTTTACTTTTTTTACTTCGATAAGAAGAAAATTTACAATTTCAAATACAATGGAATTTTTTAATACATTTTGAAAGTGTACCTAATTATGGTAATTATTGGTATTAGTGTTTATTTATTCCTAGCAATGTCGTTATTGTACATCACCAGAATCCCAAAACTGTGGTACTACCGGACCTGCTGATGGAATTGGTGTACCAAATACAGATTTTCTCCTTTATGTTTCTGCAGTGGTATCAGAACGTTGCAAAAATGCTGATACGGTGGCATATGCAGCACATTGTCAACAAGAAGCTGATCGCGACAGGTCATTTCATTCCCTCATTAACTAATTTAGGTGATTAATAAAGCAGTGAGAAGTTGGACTTTGGAATGAAAATGAAAAAAAAATGAAAGGGATAGAGTAAGTTGAGAAAGTTTCAAATTGATATATTTATTTGAAATAATTTCAGAGATGAGATTAGGAAAGGAGAAGGGTGCTGTTAGAGTTGAATATCGATTTTCAAATTTAAGGATTCTTTGAAATTACAGACCAATTGCTGGACATGTTAATTTATGTCCAAATGCGCTCTCAACTGCACTACACGATCGTGAAATATTACTTTCAACGGTAAAGCATGAAATTTTGCATGCTTTGGGATTTTCCGCGGGATTATATGCATTCTTCCGGGATGACAATGGAAATCCACGAACACGACGAAATCGTTACAACAAACCGATTTCATTGAATAAAGACCGCGGATATTATAACTGGGATCCAAGTACCATTCGGACAATTATACGGAACGATTGGTGGACAGCAGAAGGAACGGTACAAATAAAACGAAGTTAGAGAATAGGGTGGGACCACGAAGTTGCATAGTGGTATGATGACGTTACGATGACACGACTGCTAGACTGAATATCTATAAAAACAAAATATGATCTGGTGGTTGTGGTGATAAGTTTTATGATGACAAGTCTTGGTAATATAAATAACGGGGAGGACTGATCAAATTTCCTTTCTAAGCAAGAAAAGATTTGGTTTTTTATAGATACCACATTCAATACATGTAATGGTAACTCCACGTGTACAACAGGAAGCTCGACGACATTTCAATTGTTCAGATTTGGAAGGGGCTGAGCTGGAAAATCAGGGTGGTGATGGTACCGCTTTTACACATTGGGAAAAGCGCCTTTTCGAAGTAATCATAGACGTGAAATGTTCTGCATATTTAAATTCTGAATCGAAGAAAATGATTCCAAAATTGAAACTCTTTTATTATCATCGTCTGTAGCAAGTTATTAGATGGAATTTGCAGTTTTTAATATTTTAATATTTTGCGATTTTTGTATGTTTTCCATTTTGCTCTGGTTTCAAAATTTCAAAACTTTCAATGGGTTCCAAATTTTTACCTTTTTGCTAACATTTTATTGCAAAATTTAGTATTGCTTATTGCTTCGTAACTTCAACATGTGCAAAATTATCCAACTTCTAAGGTTTCACTTTTGAATAATCGACGCGTTAGTGTAGTAATATTCAAAATTAGCCAACTTACAGAAGCAATACTCTAATTAACTTTTCAGAATGAAGCAATGACGGGTACTCATACGCAAAATCCGGTATACTCTCGGTTAACATTTGCACTTCTGGAGGATAGTGGGTGGTACAAAGCAAATTACAGGTTGAATTCGGTTTGGTTAAAATATTAGTATAGCATTAAAATAATAACTAATAAGAACGTACAGTGGATATTTACAATTATGTCTGAAAAGTTTCGTAACACTTTCAGCGTATTCAAATCTTACTTCTTTAAAATTAGAAATCCATTTCGAATCTCATCTCAGAAACTTCTAACCTCCAATTCATAGTCTTGATACTGCTTGACTACTTTCCCTTTAAGAACACAAATGTGTTTAGCAATTTTACCGGCAACTGTTAGGCAAAGAAATATAAGAATTTTGAAATTCATAACTTAAGTCGTTTTAGTACAGTTGAAGAACTTCACTGGGGTCGTCATCTTGGTTGTGAATTTGCGAGGAAAAGTTGTGGTGAATGGATCCGAAGTCGACGAGAAAAGTGAGTCTTCCGATTGGAAAATACAGTCATTTCTTTGGATGTCACCTGAAGTTTTCCTAAGAAGATCAAGATCCTGATAGTTTTTTCTCTTTTAAATTCAGCTTCTTTGCTATTGATCTTTCTTCAAGTACTTGAACGAGTACTTTTGAGTACTTCTCATGAAGTTAATGATGTATTTTTGTCATTCTTTGAAAAATTTGTTGCAGATTTTTTTTTTACCATGAGTAGTAAAACTCAGGCACATTGTTTTCAACTCTGATTTGTTTCCTTCGTTACATTGCTTAACTGTATTTTGTCGAATATTAAACACAGCTCTTAACTTTTATGTAAGCAGTGATTTTTAAGAATACCATTTCTTTCACTGTTGTATACAGTCACAAAAATTTTGTCTTCAGAAATTTTACTTACAGAAACCTTTTGCTAGCACCATTTTGCGATGAAATTAAACATGATGGGAAACGTTCACTGGCAACAGCACGGTGTACGGCACAACGAGATTCATTAGCTTTGTGCAATTTGGTATGTTTCATTTGCGGGAGGAAGCAATTAATTTCTAGCTAGTAGCATATTCCTCAAATTCAATTCTTTGACTCGATTTTGTTAGTGAAGTGTGATTTTAATTCTATATTGATTAGCATATGAAGTTTTGTAAATGAAACCAAGAATTAGCTCCTTTGTCTCAAGTTTTTTCATAAAAACAAGGAAATCTGCGAGATGTAGATACCAAATTTATGATGGGTCCATAGAGCTTTATTGTTGAAATTTGTTATATAAAATTCGAATTTTAGATACCTTATCAAAATCCACTTCCAGCCGAATATCGTAATTTCGCTTCCTTAAATGGAGTACAAGATGAGAGCGTCATGTATTATGGTGGGTCTGTGGAGCTTGCCGATTATTGCCCCTATAATCAGGTTTGCCTACATTATTTTTTTACTAAACCTTGTTTGTGTATTATTTGGGATTAATTGCAGTCAAGCGTACTTTTTTCTGGAAAAAGTGAAATTATGGAAATTTAACGAAACAATACAAGGGGTCTTTATCTTTCATAAAGAAAATCTGAGTTAGGGGCTAATTGCTTTACTACAGTTTTATTAAAAATTTAATCTATGTTCTGGAATATTTAACTTAGCATATTAAAATATGAAACTAAACATATCCAGTTTTCCATTTTCTATCCAATGGTAACATTGTTGATGGTTTCCCTGCGCAATAAATTGGCAATAAATAAAATTAGAATTAATCCATTTTGGTATTATCAGTTCCATGCAGGAGTTTGAATGGAAAGCATCAAATTCATCTCAACGTCGTGATAGTCGGTGTGAGCTGGATGGAAATTTTACACCTAATCAAGCAAATTCAATATTGGAAGTGTATGGCAATCAGTCAAAATGTTTCGATTTAGCGACTTTTTGGACTGAGCGAAAATGTGGTCGTATTCGGACATTTCTTCAGTACAAAGCTGGGTGCTATCAGGTGAATTTTTATTTTTTAGTATATTTTAAGAGGGTTATATGTTGAAATAATTGTGTTTCAATCTTCTTAGTTGTTAGAGAGATCACCTTGATTGGTTTAAATCTGAATTCAGTGACAACATGCGTAAAAGAAATGTTGAGTTTTAATTTGATAAATGCTGACTCTTCAGGATGTCTAGATTGTTTATTGCGCTCAGACTGTTTTGTTATATTGTTATTTTTGTATTTAATTTCAGTATGAATGTAGCGAAGGTCGTTTGAATATTGGTTTATTCAATGAAACTTTTTTTTATCCGTGTTATTTTGCCGGGCAATATGTCTATGTCCGAAAGGTTCTTTTTTTACGAAGTATTAAATTAACATTATAGTCGATACTCAAGTAATTTCTCAATTGATAGTTTTTGAAAAATTTTCTTTTTGCTTTAGACCTGCAATTTCCAATATGAAGGCTACTTTTTCATACTACTCGTAACTACAATTTTGACAGCGAATAGTCTTGAAAAATAAAAAAAGCTCATCATCTTCTGTTGAACTAATGTTATATTCTCCGGACGAAAATTTTTTAAATAATAAAATTCTTTAACTCTCTTTACTTGTTACTTACAGATAGTAAATGGCTGGTTGCGGGAAGGTGTGGTCATTTGTCCATCGTGTGAAGAGATTTGCCATTCAGGGCGTTTCTCCTCAGATGATAAGTTTGGTTACTGCCAAGAAACAGACGAAGATGAAATTCCCGAATATGTAGGAGATTTACTGCTAGATGAACCTTGCGCAGCACCGAGTTCTCGTTGTAGCTTTTTCTTCCTCTGTATTTTCCTTATTTGGTCTCTGCATTCTTTCGTCTTTCCGGGTATTTTACATGACTTTTTTTTAATCATTTTTTTAACAAAATCAGTATAATGTAATTATATCGTTTCTATAACGTTGAAATTAAACATTCAGAAAATGATTTGTATGGCTAATATAATATGGACAAAAGAGTTGGGTTTACCTATGAAAAATGGACTAGAAAATAGCATTGACACTAACAAAGTATGGAGAAGTTCGACTATTTTTATTTTTAATTTTTAAATTAAGATTTGTTGTGTCTATCTCAAAAACGTTTTTATTTTTGTTAGAGATTATGTGTTCCAGCGAATTCATATTTTATTTTCATTTTCGGTGTTTATTTGATATCGGCTCCATATTTTACTTGTAGAAACGGTATTTTATGCTTGTCTTCTTCATCTGCTTAATTTATATTTCCGTTTGTTTGTCATTCGGTATGTGGTTTTAAATTTTATTGTATTGGTAGTAGTCTGTGCTCAAACTGTATTTTTCCGCGATTTTTTTCTTTTTGACTTTTGGTGCATTAATCCTTGAATTTCAAAAATATGTCATAATTGTTGAAGCGGCTGTGATAGATGTTAGTATATTTCTTTTCGTTACGTTTTGATTTCAATTTAACATTTTTCTACTTCATGTCAAGATTGCTACTATGATTAAAACTTCGAACTGAAGTTTTTATAAAACTTCTCGGCGTTTGCAGTTCATGAAAATTGCATTTCCTAACGCAAATGTTTTCTTCATGTTTGCATCTGTTTGCATCGAAAATGATATGTTTCTTGGCTGTTAAAAACTGGGATAGTGTGATCGATGAGGGGTGACGATTTAAATTTGGTAAGGCATAGTTAAAGTAGTTGTTTCAAGTACGGATACTTTTCAAATTATTAGTTGTCATAAGTTATATACTCGCAAGGTAGTTGCTTAATGTGGTTGAGAAAACAGGCAGTCAAATAAGGAAATTATGTGAACAAGAAATGTGCCGATTTAATGTTTCGAAGCATCTGTGCAGCATGCAGCTGAATGAAATGGCGTATGATAAGTTCCGGTCCGACAATACCAACAGTAGCTTTCTTGTTCTGCAGATAGTGAAAATATTTCTAATAAAACGTGGAAGTTGAGTTGTAATTTATTGGGAACCATCTGAAAAAGAACAAAATGAGTATTGTGGATGAAGCCGTTGTTTGGGGCAAGCGAAGTGTGGATCCATGGCATCGGATGACCTGTTGTCCGAAGGCTGTTTTCACTGTAATTGAATTTTGTCAGGTTATTCTTTTGACTATCTTCCTTGAATTGTAAGTGATATGCGTAATTATTGGTTCGAAGTTATACTAACTGTATCTTCGAAATTTTTATTATTACTCAAAAGAATTTTTCAGCTTATCTAGCTATACTTTAACTCTACTCTGCTGGAGATTTCATTCATTTCATCAAATTGAGACCAAAGATTTAGTTCTCACAATGAGCCCTTGTTTTGCCACTCGTAATTTTAACTCTTAATTGCAAGTGCGTTTCTGAAATTTTCATCAACTTTGCTGATTTCCGTTTATATAATGATGCGGTTTGAGGTTTTTTTTCTTCTTTTTTTTACGAAGTTTTTTTTCTTTTTAGCTGTTGAGATAAAAGTTTTTCCTCAACAACAAATACAAAACTTAGCCGAGCTGTCAGGAAAAAAAAATTAAAAGAATGTGGAAGTTAAAATTTTCCTTAATTTGTTCAAGAAATCTGTGTATCCTTGGTATTTGAAAGCGTTCTATGTTTTATTCTGCTTCTTTCATAGGCACAAGGTCCACGACCGCTGTATTCATATCCTGCTCGTGTTCATGGTCCACACCTTGACATGGATAGTGTTTCTCTTTGGTTGATGAGCTCCGAAGTTATTAATGGTTCCAGCATGATAGTTTACAATCAACAAATGGCTATCTACGCATGTGTTCATTATTCGACGTTACTCGATTTGCACGCTCGAGCATTTCAGGTTGTTATAAAATTTTTTAATGAAGTTTGTCTTTCGAAGAAGAAGCGGGATGAAAAAAGGTTCAATCGAGAAAGCTTTTTGATACCAATGGTGTTATTTTAGATTTTAGGTTGGTGAGAAAGAAAGAAATATCATGTATAAAACTTCTGTAAATTTAGTAGCCCACAAATTTCGTAGTTTCTTTTTAGTCGAAGGCACAAATACGTAGGATATCATCAAACTAATAAGCGACAATATCTCTCTGGTATTTTGAATTGAGGATTTAAACATAATTTTCTGTCAGTTTCAGCGACCAATATCATTGGCGCTATTAACACCTGTAAAACCAACGACGGCGTTATTTAAAGAATTTATTGAGGCAAGTCGCCGCATGTTTTTACCATTATTGATTTGCAACCAGACTTTGTTCAAGTTCGTTTTCCATTTTCTTTTTATTTTTTAGATGGCGATATCATCCAGTGTAAAGGGAAAAATATAGGCGAACTCTGAAAAGCAATATTCAAAAACAAAATATTGATGCCGATTACGTAGTCAACGAATGATATTTATTCTGATTTTTGAAATTGATCATTTTAACGTTTTTCAGTGAGGAAAGGATAAAAATTCCTGCCTTATCTATTATCTTAAATCCAGCAAAAATAATGCATTATTAATTTTTAAGGTCACATATTGTTCGATTAGTCAATTTAACTAAAACGATGGAACTCGAAACGTTAGATGAGAGAAATTTTCTTTCATCATTGTCAAAATGTGCAAGGGCTAAAATCCAATCATTATCTGATCAGGTAAATTTATTTCATTTCATATAATTTTAAACCCTATCTGTACAGACAGTGACAGAATTCCTGAAATCTAGGAAATGATATGAAGTATGAGGGTTTCTTAGTTCTTGTTTGGTTCAGCGTTTCAATCCTTATGGCATAGGACGAAGGTAATGCAAAAAACAATGAAGAGGTTTGTTATCAGGCCGTCTTTGTTTCCTCTAGTTCTCATTCTTATCTTCATCACTATCTTATTTTCCCAAAAAAAAGTAGTTATAAAAAATGTCACATGAGGTATAAAGTTGCTTCGATATTATCTCAACAGAGACTGTTGAACCAGAGACTGGATTATTCGTCCATAAATTTTCTGGGATAAGATGAATCTTTTACTTCGCTCTTTCTTGAACTATTGATTGCCTTATTTGTGATCCTTTGATGGGCATTGTCGAGATTTCGGATAAAGATTCTGAGAACTTGACCATCTTTATCTGTACTAAAGATTAAAGATGAAGCATGAAATAGATGAAGCATGAAATAAAGATGAAATAAAACTGCAATTCTGAATTCTATTAAACAGGTTAAAGAAATAGAAAAAACTCATTTTTAATATAATAAAATGTAATACTTTTTCATCTCATTCGTAATACCTTCTTTTTTCTACCTTTTTTACAGGCAAAGCGTATGTTGGAACGGTTTGAAAATGATGCCGTGCAAAAAACGATACGTAACTCTGTATACTGTAGTGGACATGAGTTGATGAGTAATGATGTTAAAATTTTGGAGCAGTTGGTTGAAGACCCTCCAAAGTCGTTGCAAGAAGTGAAATTTTTAACACCATGTGTCAGTTTGTTGTTTATCTGTTTATTTAGCAAATTTTTACGATTCTTTTCGAAAAACCGCCTCGATAACTTATCTAACAGATGGGTTCAGTGGAATGGTTTAATTACAGTATGGGACCGTTTTGTTTGTCGATATTCTCCCGAGAGTAGCTCGAACAATTTAAGAAATAAATTACATTGTATTACAGGCGACATATGCTGTGATAAGGAAGTGTTAGTTGGCATAAGTAAAATTTTTTTAGTATAGAAATTTTTTCGATAAAATTTTTTAAAAAGTAAAATTTTTTACTATAGGAAGTGTAAGTTGGCATAAGTAAAAATTTTTTTAGGTATTAGTATATTTTTTAGTTTAGTATAGAATATGCAATTAATAAATGGATTATATCATTTATTCAGTCATTTTTGATAAAAAAGAAAAATGGATTGAGAGAGAGAAAAGAGAAAAAAGTGACATACATATCTTTGTATGTTTAACAGTTGTAGAGAAGATTTAAAAGAAGCCAATACTGAATAAAAAAGTCATTCAAGCTACATTTAAAGCATAAGAGTGAAGTTGAGTAGTTTTGGTTAACTAAATTATTAAAATTTTATAGCATTTCAGACATATAATGGATTCATTAAAGCGCTTCCAAAAATATATGAAAAGCTTGCTAGAGCAGCTCAGTCGTATAATACGGGGACTTTGTTTTGCGCTGCAACTCCAGTGTTAAAACTGAAAGATTGTAACAATCACAGTTTAGATGACGACAGTACCAGTGCTACATCCATGTTAGTTTATCGTAATTGTAGTTTAGGGATATTTCAGTTGGTTAACAGAAAATAATATCTTTCTCAGGCTACTTCATCACAGTTTTTCATTTGTATTGCTTTAGGAACCTTCTGGATGAAAATGATTATACAAGAAATCTAACCACTATTGCAGAGGGTTTGGACAAGGTAAGACTTTTACATTATAATTAGTTTTTTGAAATGAACTTATGCAATTATACCGTTAACGCAAAGAAATTCCGGGATAGAAATATAGCTGTACTACTTGTAAGATAATAGTAATAATAATAATAATAATAATAATAATAATAATAATAATAATAATAATAATAATAATAATAACAAATAACAAATAACAAATAACAAATAACAAATAACAAATAACAAATAACAAATAACAAATAAACAAATAAACAAATAAACAAATAAACAAATAAACAAATAAACAAATAAACAAATAAACAAATAACAAATAAACAAATAACAAATA